GGGCAGAAAAATTAAAAAAAAAAAAAAAAAAGGTATTTGCTTTTCTTTTTCAAGGACAGGCAGTAGAGCAAGGGATGTAAAGGAACAAGGTTCTAAAGCAGGAGGAAACAGCTCACAGCTCAGCTGCTGCCAAGGAACACCTGAGATGTTATTCTGTGCTGGAATGGCTGCAAGCACCAGCTGGTGGTGCACAGATGGCCATGGTGGTGGGGCAGTTGGGGGAGGGAGTGTTCCCTCATGGTGCTACAGGGGCAGGTGACCTGGTGCCGTTCCACAGCACACACTTCCTTACCTCTCTGGCACGTGGTGTGTGACATAATGGATGACTTCCTGAGAGTCCCATCTCTACCTAGAAATCCTGAACTTTCTGGAGGGCAACTCTGCCACTTTAGCAGGATGCAAGCAGGCATAAAATCAAAGATTCCTGGGTCCGAGAACCCTGGACACCCAAACCAGTCCTTCTCATTGAAACAAAGAATGTATGTATATATATATATATGCAGTGATTTCCTCTTCCTCAAACCAATTAAAGTAGCCTATTAATGTGAATATTGCACAAAACTTCTTATTTACAATAACATAATAGATTCCTATTATAAATACCTTTCTCTGGATCCCCTAAAGGTTAGTAGCCAGAGTGGCTAGCTATTCACATACATGAAACACATTTGGGCCTCTCTGAGTTTGGTAGCTTTTATTTACTTGAGTTATTCATTAGACCTTTCATCTATTTTTATTTCCAATCATGAATTGTGCAAATATATTGTAGAAACACATGCAAATCTAACCATTCACCTTACTTCCAATAGAGATAACTCTGTTTTCCAAATGAAGCATGATGGATTCTCCCGAAATTACCTTCTGTTGCTGCTTTGTGCATAGAGAAATACATCACATACCATATGTTAGGCACTGCCAAACCTTACCCTGAACACTAAGCCTATGATCTGCCCATGGTGGAACAAGGTAATGCTATCCCCCAAAGCAAAATCCAAGAAATAACTACTGCCTTGGTTTCAGAGGAGTTGTAATCATATTTAAAACTTGGCCCATTATATTCAAACATATCTAAATCAGATTGCCAATGTGATTAGCACAAATGAAGACATGTTGACAATAACATGTGCATTTTCATATATATATACACACACATATATATACACTATGGGTTAGGTTTCTATAGGAATTTTCATTATTAACTCCCACCTTGAATTCTAACGCATTTCAGATTAATCATACAGTCTTGTTTGGTTCTGTCTTTGTGGTATATATGACTGTAAATCAGTATGAGGAAAGATTTGTTTGAGAGGTAGCATGGTTGGAATTAAACCACACATCACAAAGTCAGGACATAACTGTTCTCTGCCGAGCAGCCTCTAGTTCACTGTATATGACCTTGGCCAAACTATCTGGTCAATATGCAAGAATAGGCCAAAACTCTCTCCTTTGCTTCAAAAATTACTTTTTACCTGCATTTCTCAAACTTTGTAGGTACATATAAATTAAGCCCTGCAAAATCACTTCTGCAAAAAGGATTATTCTCGCAAACCTTTCAGGTAAGACATAGGGTTCATGTATTATCTAGGGCAAGCGTTTCAATCCAGATAGTTTCTTTTATTTTTGACTTATAGCATGCTTTGGATGCCAGATGTTCAACTCTCAAGTGATTTATGCTCAAGAACTGACATTAGTAGTGATTTTAGCTGAAGTCTGGCCTGGTTTCCCTAGCATCTATGAATTACTGACAATTAAAAAGACAGCCCAGGGTATACGGAGTTTCACGGTGGAATAGTGGAAAAAACCTCATTAAGGAGACATACTTGCCTCTTCCAACTATCTCCATGTACGAGCAAGTCCTTTCACTTTTTAA